ATTGCTAAAAATAAATCAGACATATATTTATTGTAAAATCAAACTCATTCGCTGAATGTAAACAAACCGTGCGATTGCATAAACGCTTATCTATGGCATGGAACACCAAAATCCGATAAATAATTTTAAAAAATGTGTTTCTCCGGAAAAAAACTGGAGGTTTTCTGGATTTGTTTAGAAATATCCGGAAGACTTTCATTATTATCATAGTAAGAAAGTTGAAAGAATAAGGTTCACATACTCAAGGATGGATAAAACAGGGTATTTATGTACAAGTTTCAAACGTTTATCATTACATGTACACTGTACTACACTAAGATCAGGGTAATCATTATTAAAGTTCCCACTGAATATCACTAAATCTATATTGTACTCATTAACTCTGTCATCATGGGCTTTGTCAATTTGATTGTGTGTGTGACCACAAGTTTCCATACTGTAGCTTTAAATAATGTTTCTGTATCTTCCAAAATCTGGCAAGCTTTCAGTAAACATTACAAGTCTTTAGTACTAAAAAAAACTAATCTTTTAATTAAGAATTTTTACTAAAAATATGTCTGTAAATAGAGGGAGTAAGAGTACTGATTGCCCCAAGTGCAAAGTGATTTTCAAGATTAAAAATACTTTTCTTTATTTTAAAATTGTGAAATTCTATTTGTGTAATCACTAAAACCTCCTAAATAAATATCAAACGTTCTTATTAAGTAAAACTTTATTTTATCTGTTATTTTTTCTACCCTAACTCTATATCCATTTGGTCAGTTTGACTGATCTCATAACCATTATGAAAAATATGAAATAAATCTAAATTTCCCTTTTTTTTTGTAACATGAAACTACAATTATTTATCCTAAATAGCTTAAAGCTTGTACCACCATACATCTCTTTATACTTAATTTTATTCTTTCTTTGCATTTTGAACTGTGTTTAACTAATAATCCTGCCACACAAACTATAAATCTCTCAGCAAATGTGCAGCTGACATTACTGTATCATATTAGATAACACACAATATGCTTGCAAGCATCCATCATGAGGAATTTTTAGTATTACTATTATTTTTCATTATCTTAACTAAACTAACCAAATAACTTTCTAATTTTTACAGTTTAGTTACTTTTATAATAATAAGTAAAGAATACACACAAAAAACAAGAGATATAATACTTACCTGGGTCCTCTCATTTTTGTGTGGTCAACTGTTGATAAAACTTAAGCCTACTTTTTTATACTAATGATACTACTACACTAAATAATCTTTGTTTAATTAAACACTGCATCTAAGAACACAGAATGGTAACATGTATAAAGCAAACAATTTTTTTTATAACTTTTATAATTTTTCTGGCTTTCTAACTATACAATAAGAGCCTTTAAAAATTCTGCTAAGCTTGTTAATGTGAATACCATAAAAAAAGTTTCAAACTGGAGGTGAAACAGAATTTTCTGTATAGAAAACAACATAATATAAATATCATTTGATAACTTAAAACTTTGGCTTTCTTTTGATTATAAATAATATAGTATACAACGTAAGAGAGAACTATTGGCAATTTGTGAAAGAGAGGACGTGACAGGTTGGCATGGCAAGTTCATCTATTTTCTAGTTTATGACTCAATAAGCAAATAAGATTGAAGGCTATAAAGATTTTACAATGCATTTACTTAGGAAATGAGAGATCTTTTGTAACTAATCAATGAGATCTGTGAGAATGGGACCTCCTTTGACAGTTAGAGGGATGGACTTAATTTGCCTGATCTACAAGACTGGCAAGAAAAGCAACCCAAAAAAGTATGGAAGAATAATGTTATTTAACACTCACATACTGGCTCAAAAAAAGAAGGCTAATTAAGGAAAACCAAGTAGGATTCAGGAAAAATTATGCAACAAGAAACAACATTTTTGAGTTGAATACATTAATCAAAAATAAGATAAGAAGAAGGGGAGGAAGATTGTACACATGGTTCATTGACTTTAGAACAGCTTTTGACAAGGTGAATAGGAAGAAGCTATATTAAAAGATCTGGAAATGGAGATTACCAGAAGAACACACAAAATGATTAGAAGTATTTAGAAGTAAACAAGGAACATTATCATTTCACCAAGAGAAGGATCAGATATGTTTTAGACTTCAAAAGGAGTGATACAAGAATGCCCATTAAGCCCAGTGTTATGCAGTATTTTTATCAATGAATAGGAAGATGAATGGATCACAAGGAATGTTGGGGAAACTGTTATTTGAAATAAAAAATAACTGAGAAAACATTGTTGCATTGGCCGATTGTAGAAACCATATGAGAGAAAAGGTTAAAGCTTGGGGAAAATATGTGGAAAGAAATCATTTGGATATTAAGCTGGAAAAATTGAAGATGAGGGTATTTTGTAAAGGAGGGAAGCTTAGTAAAAAAACAAGGGTCAGCCTATCAAGGTGGTTAACAAATACAAGTGCTTGAGAGTTTGGCTTTCAACAAAAAACGTTTCCACGGAACACATTAACTCTTTCCACATGGGCTTGGTCGAATTGACCGACCACGTGACCATTTTGTATTCATTTAAAGTTGTTTTAGTTTTGATACTACTAACTTTTAGTATAGTATGTGTATCTTCTTAATTTGGCAGACTTTCAGTAAATATTAAAGTATATTACATACAAAAAATCATATTTTTAGTGATGTATTTTTAATAAACTAAAAAAAAAGATTTGTCCATGAATATATCGTTTTTTTTACTAGTCCGAGTGCAAAGCGATTTTTCATGTTAAGCTTAAAAATTCTTCTCTTCATCTCAAAAATCTAAAATTTCATTTGCATAATCTCTAAACCTTCTAAATAGATTTCAGTAAAACTTTATATCTTATCTGGTACTTTCTCTACACTAACTATATATATGGTGTTAGTCAATTTAACCAACCACATAACCATCATAAAAATTAGGAAATAAAGCTAAATTATCCTTTATTTTGTTCTAGAATGACTGCAAATTGGAATAGGAAAGCTTAATTCTTGTAACAGTATACATCTATTCATATTTATAAATTGTTTTGTTTTAATGACCTTTGAACCATGTCTGACTAGAAATACTCCAACACAAGTTGAAAATTACATGGCACACGTGCAACTCACATTACCATATCGAATAGATTAATGCACAAGCTGCTTGCTTGTGTACCCCAAAGATTTTTTTCCCCCTTATCTTACCTAATAAGTTCTATTTTTTTACATTTTAGTTACTTCTATATTATAAATAAATAAAACAAATTCAAAATAAAAAACCTCATGATCAAATACTCTTTTCAGTAAAGTTATATATTTTATCTGTCATTTTCTCTTCTGTAACATTATACTTTATTCTCTAGGTTGTAAGACAAGTATTCAAAATATAATGAAAATAAAGGTTGCAAAGTGCAAAACAAAATGTATAGTATTGTTAGTATTGATCATATGCAAAGAACTTATGGTCAGAGTTTATAGTTATCACTTTTTCACACTTATTTTCTGTTGTAATTTTAAGAGCTGACTTAGAAACTAGATGAAACAAAATGAATATTACTATTTGTCTTTTTCAGTATGGATCACTAAGTTCCAGAGTAGAATTCCTAAGTTTCTTTTCACACCTATTTCCTATGCTTATCTACTGTTAGTGGCTGAAGTAGAAACCTACCAAATATAAAGCAATGAATCACTGCTCCTTACTTAGTTTCACACCATCAATATCAAATAAGCTCATGCAGTGCAATTCCCAGAATTTTCTCTGCTTTGAAAACACAGTGGGGTAGGATTTATCAAGTTGTTGACAGTATAATGGTGTCAACAACAGTTGTCTAAAATACTATAAAATGTTTATGTTATGACTTTGTAGAAAGTCCAGGCAGATCAAATAAGTTGATAAATGGACATTTCTTACAGAGTCTATTTGAATCCTGGCTCCGAGAACACAATGGGGTAAAATTTATCGGCTTCTTTACAGTACAGTGGTTGCAACAAAACAGTTCTTGTTGCAACCACTGTACTGTAAAAGTGAGAGAAAATATTAATGATATGGCTCTGTATAAAGTTGTATCCGATCCAATAAACTTAATTATTGAATGTTAGTTAACCTCCTGGGTGGTCAGGATTTAGTGTTAGTGTAGGTGTAAAAGTGTAAGTGCTTATGAACATCCTGTTTCCTATATTACCATACTTACACAGTAACCAATAAATGCATATTTTACAGTAATATAAATACAGCCCATTTTGTTTGAGTTGGTATTTTTAGCTTAGCCTTCTTGCATATCAATTTAGAAACAAATTATTCAGTGAGTACTTTTTAATTTGAATGTACAATAATATGTTCTAAAACTTCTCCACTTTTTTCAATTTTT